AGATTGACTTGGTCAAGGTCACAAAGGAAAGCCATGACCGTGTGAGGAAGAACTTTGGTGTCTGTGTAATGAACTGCAATAGCTTATTTCCTGGCAATGAATACTCTAAAGTAATTGTCACGGTTGTCCGAAATTGTCCCAAACATATTTCGGAAGAGTATCATTCCATCTACAAATACGTGCTGCAAGAAGAAGCAATTTTCACTCATGCTTCTAAGCCAGTCCATCAAAGTTGGTAGTAAGAAGGGATAGCTCAGTGGTTTGAGCATTGGCCTGCTAAACCCAGGGTTGTGAGTTCAATCCTTGAGGGGGCCACTTAGGGATCTGGGGCAAAAATCTGTCTGGGAATTGGTCCTGCTTCGAACAGGGGGTTGGATTAGATGACCTCCTGAGGTCCCTTCCAACCTTGATATTTTATTCTTCTATTTTTTGTCTGTGTGGCCAACATCTGGTGTTCCTTTAACATCCTGCTGAGGGGAAATCACGTATTCTGTGCTGAATCTGTCTGTACTCGGTGCGGGTTGCAGATTTCAGAATATCTGGTGAGAGTTAGAGGAAAGAGACATAGGGGTCTGTTATACCAGAACAGAATATAGATCCATCTAATCCTGTATCCTGACCCCAACAGTGGGCCATAACTGGTGCTTCAAAGGGAGATGGAAACTGGTGCTGCGTTCTGCTGAATGACCATGTGGGTGGTGAGTTCTTGAAAGCACATTATTTTCCACAGCAGTTCACTTAACATGAATTAAAGTGACGACGTGAACCCTTTGGCTCATCCACGCGTGCCAACAATTAGTGGGTTACCCAGTGAGGTTTGTTTAATGGGGACATGGGCAGCTGAACTGAAAGACTGTGCCTTTTCCAGAGCGCATGCCCTACCCTGCGTAACGTTACACTATACAAACCTTCACACACAATTCAAACCAAAACTGAACCTTATTGGGAGCTTCATTTAAAAAAAAAAATCCACCCACTCCCAAACTTTTCTAAAAATTATTGTTAATTGTCACATTCCTTACTCATCCTTGTTCCGGTCGGGAGTGGTAAGAGAGGTCATTGTTTTGATTAGAAGTGGGAAGCATGGGACATCTGGTAGGAGCAAGGGAAATATGATTATGAGATTTCCATGCCAGTTCTGCAAACTTGAGAACTTGGAGGTAGCATCTGAATTCCTAGGTGTTTTTCCTGTCTGTGCTTGCCAGGCATTCACTAGTGAGATGTTGTTGCTCACCTCTATTCAAAGCTTTGCAGGTTACCATTTGGGGTTTCTCCATAGAATCATAGAATATCGGGTGGAAGGGACCTCAGGAGGTCATCTAGTCCAACCCCCTGCTCAAAGCAGGACTAATTTCCAACCAATCCATCCTTGTTCCTGTGCGGGGAGAGGCATGGTTTGGGTGACCAGATGTCCCGTTTTTAAAGGGACAGTCCCGTTTTTGGGGACTTTTTCTTATATAGGCGCCTATTACCCCCGCCCCATCCTGTTTTTTCACGGGTGCTATCTCGTCACCCTAGGCATGGTTGGTTGCTGACTTTCCACTGGCGGTGAAACACCAGCACTGCTTACTTCCCTTTTCACTTATTAGCTTATTCTGCCTCATTGAGTCTGTGTTACTGTTGCATTTGGTGTTTCCAGCACCCTTTGGACCTCGCACATTTTACAGCTCTTTGGGCCAGGCACTTCTCTCTTCCCCCTTCCCCCCCGCCCCAGCTTATTTGATGCTATTTAGAAGAAATTGTCAAGCCTCCTGTCCGTTTGTTTCATTCAAACTGGGGTTGCACTTTTACCTCCAGCTGCCTTTTGGAAACAGTGTCCAGAAGTGGTCATTCAGTCACTTTCCATACTCCATTTTTTTAATGTTAATTGAATTAAGAGATGCAGGTTACTTAGGTAAAGAAAATGACTATACGGCGCGCTTCACAGGGTTTGTTAAACCCAATTAAACTAACATCATAAACACTTCACAGTAATTACAAACATAAATGGCAAATGGGCCTCTTCCACCCTCGAGGAAAAGGTTGTTGAGGGATAAAAGGTTGGGTCTTCCCCACTGCAGCTCTCTGGTTCACCTTCCCTGGCGACTTGCAATATGCTTTTCAGATTCATTTCACAGAACTCAAAGCTCTTAGATCCATAGAGTTTAAGGCCAAAAGGGACCACCAGATTCTCTAGTGTGATCCCCTGTATGTCACAGGCCACCAACGCCACACAGCACCTGAACGTTAAACCCAGCAACTGAAATTAGACCAACGTGTTACAGCCTCAGGGATCCCAATCCCAGAGTGTGTGTCTGGCCTGGCTCAGCTCTGTCCCAGCAACCCGCCGAGCCCATCAGCGCAAGATGCGTGGCATGGTTGCTTTACGGTCTAAGTGTTTGCATAGGACTGGAGACTTTGGGAAAGAGGTGGGAATAGCTTGACTTTTCCATGGCTTAGTGAGATCCAGGGGGACGTCTCTGCTTTAATAGCTTGGTGATGTCAGAGCAGAGCTGTGAATATGTATGACATGGAGGTGGCCTTAGTGTGAGCTTGTCTGCTTTGCTCTGCCAAGAAGTAAATACATGTCCTAGAAGGAGCACTTTGTTTCTGGAGAGAGGAGCTGGGGTGGGAATAGAGGAAGAAAATGCATCAGTGGCTTATTAAGTCAGCCCGGGTAATTTTGGGACCTGGTTTCTCCCTGTCAATTGATGTAGTGTTGGGATTTGTTTTGTTTTGCTCTGTGATGGAAAGCGTTGTCTGATCAGAAAACAAGCTTGGATACATGGCTGAAATAATTTTCCACGTGCGGCTGGTGCTGGGGTCTCAAAGGTGATTGATATGCCAACTTACCCTGCTTCCCTGGTGCCTAGTTTCGATGCTGAGCAGCCAGCCTTAAACTCTGCTATCTCAGTAATTGGCCTATGAAGCTAAACAGCAAAACACAAGAGCAGAGCGCTCCACGCCTTGTTTGTCATTTGTTTGTTCAGGGTTGTTTTTTATGCTATGTACAATTGTGGCTGTTCAGGGAAGCGAAGTTAACACAGTATTTGTCGATCGGTCTATTAAAGATTTGCAAAGCTCTCCCTTTCTTATCATGGTGGTACTGTGTATTGTATCACGGTGGCCCTTTTGTGCTAGGCGCTGTGTGCAAACACAGTAAGAAACAGGCCTGCCCCAAAAGAACGTACAATCTGAAAAGAAAAGACGGACGCTAAGTGGGATGGGAAACCAAGGCATGGGGTGAAGGGACTTTCCAAGGTCACGCAGCAAGGTCAGTAGCAGAGCTGGGAATAGTAGAGTTCCAGCCCTGTGCCCATAGCCATTAGACAGGGCTGCCTCTCATATGAGTGATTTGTCTTTGGAAGGTATCCAAATGAAGTAGATGTTTTTGCATTTTGCCAAGGACACCATAAGAAGGCTGTGAGCCTTCACTGCTCCTGTTTCTAAAAATACTGCCGTTAATGGATCTGAAAATGTTGGCCAGGCTGAGAATTTCAGAGTAGCCTGAGAGATTTAATTGGTCAATTCCCATTGAAATGAAGGGGAATGGAGTGTCCGAATCCTGTAGGCATCTTTGAAAATCCTACCTTCTACTTACACATTCTGTATGGCTCTAGAGAACATGCAGGTATGCCTGTTACCTTGTCATCCTCTCTTCATTTGCTTCACGTATTATATCTTGTCTTAAATGAAGACTGTAGGCTCTGTGGGGCAGGGCCTGTCTTTTACTACATGTCTGTCTGGCGCCTCTCACAGCGGAGCCCTTGCTTCTTTTGCGGCATCTGGGTGCTGTTATGATGCAAATAATCTGAATTCCACATACAAACACAACTCAGCTTTGGGTCCAGGTCTGAACGTTGCAGCAGACCCTCTAACTGCTTGAACGGAAATCCTGAATCTGAGCAGTCCAGGACTACGGAGAAGTTCAGAACTCGGTTGCTGAATCTTTTCCTAATCTGATGAACTATTAAAATTTTTTGAAAACTAATGAATAAAAAAACCTATTAATTAAAAAAACATCACCATGAATTAAAAAACACTATGAATGAATTTTAAAAAATTTAAAATCACCAGACTAGAGGTAAATAAAAAGGAATAAATATGAGAGTTCTCTGTCTTAGGTACTTATATGGCATCCAGTACTGTAGTATCTGAGTGCCTCACAATGTTTAATGTATTTATCCTCACAACAACCCTGTGAGGTAGGGCAGTGGTTTTCAACCTGTGGTCTGTGGACCCCTGGGGTCTGCGGACTATGTCTAAGATTTCCAAAGAGGTCCACACCTCTGTTCGAACTTTTTTTAGGGGTCTGCAAATGAAAAAAGGTTGAAAACCACTGAGGTTGGGAAATGCAATTACCCCCATTTTACAGGTGATAATGATACCTGGTTCTTATATAGCCCTTTTCATCAGTAGATCTCAGAGCACTTTACAAAGGAGGTCACTCTCATTATATCCCCATTTCACAGATGGAGAAATGGGGCACAGGCAAGTGAAGTAACTTGGCCAGGTCACCTGTCAGGCCAGTGGCAGAGCTGGGAGTAGAACCCAGGTCTCCTGAGTCCCAGTCTAGTGCTTTATCCTCTAGGCTATACTGAGGCAGGGAAAAAGCTAACTCACTTGCCCAAGGACACACAGGAAGTCTGTGATAGACCAGGGAGTAGAACCCAGGTCTCCTAGTTTCTGGGCTAGAGTCCAAGCCACTGGATCATCCTTCCCCTCTAGTTAGGGGTAGTTATGTATAGAAAGAACTCTAGACAGCTGCAAAAAAACAAGGGAAAGAGAAATTAGCTGAAAGAGATCAGAGAGAGAACCCAGTAATATTACAGGGAATTGATGCCACCTTTTATGTTGTAGCATCAGTGCTGCATCCCACCAATGCTCTAGCATATGTCTTAGGCTCATAATAAACTTTCTCTACATAATTCCATATGGATTCAGAAAGGGAAATGGATCTGATGGTCACATAGTGACCTAGGTTTCTCTGGCGCTGAAATTTACGTCTGTTTTCTCTCCATCTCTTTTCAGAGCTCCCTTCGTCAGAACACTTGAGTGTGGCAGATGCTACATGGCTGGCTCTCAATGTGGTTTCAGGCGGAGGCAGCTTCTCCAGCTCTCAGCCCATCGGGGTGACCAAGATTGCCAAGTCAGTAATAGCGCCGCTGGCTGACCAAAACATTTCTGTGTTCATGCTGTCCACCTATCAGACCGACTTCATCCTGGTAAGACCAAATAAGATGGCCAGGGCTGCTTGTGATTCCGTGTTCCCCAGCAGAATTTGCTGGAATGGGGGCAAAGGAGAGGTTCCAATTACACCTTAAAAAAAGGGGAGGGTTGCAATCATTAAATACTTGAAGTAATGCTAAAGTGGGGGTTCACCACTTTATTGTTGGCAACGTCCTTGGACACTTACAACCTGATGTGAATGCCGCTGAGTCGATAGGAGTCTTTCTGCTGATTCCAGAATCAGGCCCACCGGTAGTTGGACGGAGGCCACCAAATTCATTTAACCCAATACCCGTCGGATTGCGACAACCTCCAGGCCTTGTTGTTCCGAGCGTGTGTTGTGTGTACGTTTTCCTATGGCTCAGCAGCGCATAAGGACACCTGTGATCTGATCCGTTGTCCAGTTCAGACAGTGGGGAAGTGGGTGCATTGTCACACGCCCGTCTCTGTCCCTGTCCTCAGATACGCGAGCGGGACCTGCCCTTCGTGATGCATACGTTGGCTGCTGAGTTCACCATCCTCAGGGTCGTGAACGGGGAGACGGTGGCTGCCGACGACTTCGGGATAACGAATGGGTTTGTCAAGCCGAAATTGGGTAAGGACCTGCATGGGCCCTGCTCGTCGGTGCTTTTGTGGAGGCGTCAGTAGGCTCCAGAGCTACCTCGGGTTGGGAGAGTGGGGGTGCATTTTCTGTATTTCTCAAACTTCCTGTGGAATGTTCATGCTATTTCAGGCTGTTAATCCCCTTTTCGGCATGTAAAAACACAAGAAAAAAGTAAAATCTAAAAATACATATTACCATATTCTGGAGAAAGCAATGTAGCCTATTTTCATCAGGTGCCTTTAGAGCAGGGGTCGGCAACCTTTCAGAAGTGGTGTGCCCAGTCCTCATTTATTCACTCTAATTTAAGGTTTCACGTGCCAGTCATACATTTTAACGTTTTTAGAAGGTCTCTTTTTCTAAGTCTGTAATATATAACTAAACTATTGTTGTATGTAAAGTAAATAAGGTTTTTAAAATGTTTAAGAAGCTTCATTTAAAATTACATTAAAATGCAGAGCCCCCCGG